CGCTACACTCTTGGCCCCCAAGATCCCCAGACATCACCACACCCTGCGACTTTTTCGTGTGGAGATACGTCAAAGACCGTGTTTTTGTGCCACCATTAGCGACTAACCTGGATGACCTCAAACATTGAATCATGGCAGCGGTGAATTCAGCGGAAGAAGACATTTTCAGAGGCGTTTGGGACGAATTCAACTATCGTCTCGATGTTGTCCGTACAGCAGGTGGAGGGCACATAGAGCATTTATAAAATGGTTATTAAAACTTGATAACTCATTAAACCGTTCGTAACTTTTTGTGTAATTGTAACATGTTGCCATCGTGAAATATACTGCTTTCAAATTGGGTCCATCCATTTAAAACACCCTGTACAATCCTTTTGTCCATCTGCTACCGGATAGACTATAAAGGCTTCCCCATGCCATGTTCGTCACAGGAGTTGTTTGATTCCACTTCACACCACACTGATCAGTGTATGTTGGTGAAAGGGGAGGGGGGGTGACGCAGGATTGGTACAGATATCACTCGCTACTAATGATAGCCATGGCTGGAAATCGAATTCATTTTCCTGGGTTCAAAGTGCAGTAAGTTCACGACTGTGCCGACGCTCCACCCCGCAAACTGCTTCTCTCTACAGCTGCTTCCGTAGCGTATACATGCACGGAAGTCGGACTCTGAACCACATCGCATCGATCCAATGAAACCTTGCAAACAAGGGTCAGTTACAATATTATGAAAACAACATTAAAACTTTGACCTCCCTGGCGAATTCAATCTCCACGCTAAAATATGCAGTGTTATTTTTTTCTTCGTGGCCCTGCGCCAATTGTAGACATTTCCGCATTCACTTGTGGAAAGTCAACAGCAGCACAACTGCTGTTGACTTTCCACAAGTGGTACTAATTTTATTGACAAGCAATAAGCGGCCTGAATCGACCCCTGACTGGAATTAAAATTTGTAAAGTCTTCCCCGCTGTTTTGCACTGCATTAACATGTCGCTAACACGAGTGCTCGAGATGTTGGTCACTTTGCGGAGCTGCAGGGTTCACGATTGTTAGTTCACGGGGGTTTAAATTCTGGCCAGGGCAAACGGGAGTTGGTCACTGCCCCGCAGGACATTTGCTGATAACAAGTTCATTTTGGCACGTGCAGGCTTCCTCCTACCATTGTCCCCCTCTTCCATCGTTTGCCCGCTCCCCTTTATAAAAAAAACCCCTGATACTCCTGTTCATAGTCCCCACGTGTGTGGGGGCAGTGAGCTTAATTTCTCCCCCATCTTTGGATGCAAGGAGTGCCGAGTTTGAGGGCTTTTGGTCCGCAGGAGTTTTCTGTCCCTCCTCCGCCCCCTCTTGCTGCGGTTTATGCCTCGTACCGGGTACATGTTGTCTTGTGAAACATAAATTAAAAACATATTCTGGTCAAGGTCTGGTCTCAGACTGTCATTCCTCCTGGGTCAGTCACCACCTCGTGAGACTATGCCAATTGACTGGAACTTTCTCCCATGGGCACAGGACTGCTAGTGGACATGAGCACAGCTCAATGCTCATTTGGGCATGGGGAACATTTAAGGCAATAATTTAGAGTCCTTTGCCAATCCACCACTAGATAAAGAACCCCCCTCACGTGGTGTTGGTCATGGAGTTTGCTTGACCATACTTCACAATGCACATCAGTGTGAATTCATTACGAATTGAGCCAGTTTGTCTCTCTATATATAATAGTGCATCGTCTGTCTGTGTTTGTATTGGTGTGAGCACCAGTTGCTCGGCTGATCTCAATCTTCTAATTATGTTAAACAATTGTGGAATTTTCCTTAAAAAATGTATCGACTGAACTTTAAAGTTCCACTTTGAATTACCGTATACTGTATAAAAATGTTGTACTTCGTATTTTTTAGACACTCTTCCCATATTTATGTTCATATTCCTTCACAGTTGTACAATTGTGTGTAACATTCCTGCACAATCGTAGTAATCGCTGTCTCACAACAGCGCGACCTTGTGTCATGATCCAGTTTAGAGTAAGGATTCCCTGGCGATTTTAAACTCTAGAGCAAGGATTCTGAACCTGTGGGCCAACGGCACCACGCAAGGCCATGGGAAGCGGCCCCCCGGGAACTGTTACAAATATTTCGATTACTTTTCACGAAACACCGTTTTTTTTTACCTGCCCATTGCACAACACATACATGGCTTTAAGCATACAGTGAGGGAAAAAAAGTATTTGATCCCCTGCTGATTTTGTACGTTTGCCCATTGACAAAGAAATGATCAGTCTATAATTTTAATGGTAGGTTTATTTGAACAGTGAGAGACAGGATAACAACAAAAAAATCCAGAAAAACGCATGTCAAAAATTTTATAAATTGATTTGCATTTTAATGAGGGAAATAGGTATTTGACCCCCTCTCAATTGCAAAAATTTCTGGCTCCGAGGTGTCTTTTATATAGGTAACGAGCTGAGATTAGGAGCACACTCTTAAAGGGAGTGCTCATAATCCCAGCTTGTTACCTGTATAAAAGGCACCTGTCCACAGAAGCAATCAATCAATCAGATTCCAAACTCTCCACCATGGCCAAGACCAAAGAGCTCTCCAAGGATATCAGGAACAAGATTGTAGATCTACACAAGGATGGAATGGGCTACAAGACCATTGCCAAGCAGCTTGGTGAGAAGGTGACAACAGTTGGTGCGATTATTCGCAAATGGAAGAAACACAAAAGAACTGTCAATCTCCCTCGGCCTGGGGCTCCATGCAAGATCTCACCTCGTGGCGTTGCAATGATCATGAGAACGGTGAGGAATCAGCCCAGAACTACACGGGAGGATCTTGTCAATGATCTCAAGGCAGCTGGGACCATAATCACCAAGAAAACAATTGGTAACACACTACGCCGTGAAGGACTGAAATCCTGCAGCGCCCGCAAGGTCCCCCTGCTCAAGAAAGCACATATACATGCCCGTCTGAAGTTTGCCAATGAACATCTGAATGATTCAGAGGACAACTGGGTGAAAGTGCTGTGGTCAGATGAGACCAAAATGGAGCTCTTTGGCATCAACTCAACTCGCCGTGTTTGGAGGAGGAGGAATGCTGCCTATGACCCCAAGAACACCATCCCCACCGTCAAACATGGAGGTGGAAACATTATGCTTTGGGGGTGTTTTTCTGCTAAGGGTACAGGACAACTTCACCGCATCAAAGGGATGATGGACGGGGCCATGTACCGTCAAATCTTGGGTGAGAACCTCCTTCCCTCAGCCAGGGCATTGAAAATGGGTCGTGGATGGGTATTCCAGCATGACAATGACCCAAAACACACGGCCAAGGCAACCAAAGGAGTGGCTCAAGAAGAAGCACATTAAAGTCCTGGAGTGGCCTAGCCAGTCTCCAGACCTTAATCCCGTAGAAAATCTGTGGAGGGAGCTGAAGGTTCGAGTTGCCAAACGTCAGCTTCGAAACCTTAATGACTTGGAGAAGATCTGCAAAAAGGAGTGGGACAAAATCCCTCCTGTGATGTGTGCAAACCTGGTGGCCAACTACAAGAAACGTCTGACCTCTGTGATTGCCAACAAGGGTTTTGCAATCAAGTACTAAGTCATGTTTTGCAGAGGGGTCAAATACTTATTTCCCTCATTAAAATGCCAATCAATTTATAACATTTTTGACATGCGTTTTTCTGGATTTTTTTGCTGTTATTCTCTCTCACTGTTCAAATAAACCTACCATTAAAATTATAGACTGATCATTTCTTTGTCAGTGGGCAAACGTACAAAATCAGCAGGGGATCAAATACTTTTTTCCCTCACTGCAGTTTCCTTTGTCAAATATTGGTGCTTGGTGGTTAATGGAAATATTTTGACAGTGATCTACGCAGCCAGAAATGTTCATGAGTACAGCTCTAGAGCTTACCCAGTAAGTCCTACATATAAATAATGTCATACAACACTTTTCCTAATGAACTTCTACGTATGCCCGTCATGTAATTATTACTTTTCTTCAACTATTACTCTCAAAGTGCGCCAAAAAAATGATTATATTCTCAAGTTGATGCGAAACAAGTTAAATATATGTAAAATATTTTACAATTCCTATGGGATACCCACACAATCGGTTTAATAATTCATTTGGTCATTAAGAGGATTTAATCCTGTGGTAAAATGTCCTGCGGGAATTTCCTTATCACTGGAGTTCCGGTATAAAAGGGTGGCGGCTAATGGCTCCAATTTGAGAAGGCAACAAAGCCCCGCTTTTCCCGCCCTCAGGTGACACGTTTAGGACGATTTATTGAAAATTGGAAGGCGATAAGTACAAAACAATGAACGTAACGATTTTGGCACGGTAATTTTTTGTAAAATTGGCGAGGTGCAGGAGAAGGTAAAGTCATGGAATAAATGCGGGAGTGGGGCACCGCCTAAAACATCATGTATCATTTTTAATTACATTACTTTTTAACGGTGGCTAATTTTTTTAAATGTTATTTTTAAAATGCAATTTCACTGTCCTCTCCTGAAAATGGAGACTTGTACTTTAAGCACAAAACATTTTTGAAAGGACGTTACAGAAGCCGCTTAGTTAAATGTGTGTTGTTCAGCCCATCGTGAACGATTTACGGATTAACTATTAATTTAACATTTCTGTGACCACAGTGACCACCCGTGCCAAAGTGGTGGTTTCAATAATGGGGTTGGAGATGGCACAAATAAATCCATTGCTTTTCGATTTAAAGCTTTCGTGACTGCAAGGATTCATCTTCTTTGGTTCTTTCGGTAAAGTCACGTAGAATGAGAATAAAATAATAAATTGATAAAATAACACAATAATATTCTCACGACGTTTCGGCCACAACACAAGCGGCCTTCATCAGGTGAAGGGACGAGACTGTCTGGTAGGACAGCGCTGGAGTGCTGGAGCGCTGGAGTGCTGTCCTACCAGACAGTCTCGTCCCTTCACCTGAAGGCCACTTGTGTTGTGGCCGAAACGTCGTGAGAATATTATTGTGTTATTTTATTTTATCAATTTATTATTTTATTCTCATTCTACGTGACTTTACCGAAAGAACCAAAGAAGATAAATCCATTGCTGCCACGTCACAGCTAGTCGGCAATTCTGCCCGCTCACTCCGCCTGAGAGTCGAATATCCGGGATGGACTCTGCTGCCTTCTCTACCAGAGCCACCAGGGCATCGATATCCAGAATTCTCTTAGAATTTTAAGATAATATATTCCAATGTAAACGTAATGCACATTAATTTATAGGTTTTCTGTAAATGAGATTAATGTACCATCCGTGAAAATGTATTTTAAGCAACGAATAAAGTAACAATAACCTGAAATGTATCATGGTTATTACTGTGGACTTCATAAAGATGTAATATTATTGTTATTATTTTGACATACACCAGTGTATCAAGTTTATTAGGCAAACATTCTGATCACGTCTACGTTTGTACACATGTAAAGGTTACTATACTTTATATTATATACATAGAAAACATGTATTTTATTTTAAGATTTTATTTCAATCAGCTTATTTATAGTCCCTGACTTAGAAATACGCAATTACACAAGTATAAACGGTTTAAATCATATAATTTGTTTATGCTATAAACGCCCATATTTACACAGATGATTTGGCTAAATTTGCAGCAACACTAGAGACTGAGGTTAATGAAGTTTAATTTTGTGACATCCACGTTGCTGTTTCTTTTTTCATTGTCGTCTTGCACATTATCAACAATACTAAAAAAATATCCAAATGTTACCATTGCATGCACACTGCACGTATATAAATAATCGCGTTCTATGACTGCAAACAATATTATTCAGACTAACTTCAGCCAGTGATCGGCATTAACGGTTCACTAGCTTAGACGACAGTGGAATCTAGTGAAAGGGCAATGCTCAAAGTCACATGACTCAAAATAATCGCGGTGCAAACTGAAGGCAAAACGGTTTAGCTTTTCATAAAGCTGCATTTCCAAACAAGAGACCTAGTTGAATTATAAAATAAAACAACAGAAAAACATAAAGACTGAGACCACTTTGAATTATTGGTATAAGAGATGTAAAAGACTAAAACGTAATAACCTATTTGTCATGATTATGAAAAACATCGCTGCCAAAGCCACCAATGCCCCACACCTCAACTGCCACTGCCCTCTGTGAGACTCCACAGCTGCTGCACAGGCACTACCCGACCTCTGATGTCCACTCTCGAGAGCGCAACCCCTCCCACATCTGCCATTGAAATATCTACAACCTCAATTAAATCCATTGCGGGCTTTTTCCCAGTCCTCTGCGCTGCGCGGACCTTCCATCAAGTTCCCCTCGGCGGTGGCGGCGGTAAGATGATCTGATCGATGTTGGAGAAGCGTTTGAGGAAGCTGAACCGGCACAGCGCCACCGTGGACGTGGAGGACGAGGAGGAGGAGGACGAGGACGACCGCGGGGTCGCGCCGCTGGCGCCCGTCGTTGTCATCGCCGTCGCCGCCGCCACCCCGGCCGTCGCCGCTCCGGCCATCGCCTGCCCGGCGGCACCCCCGTTAGTCGTCACAATTGTCGTTGACGCGACGGTGGCGCCGGAGGTCTTGCCGTCGAACGTCTCGAGCCATATGAGCGAGCTGGTGAAGCCGACCTTGGCGTGGCCCTGGGAGGCAGATGGAGGCACGGATTGGGCGCCGCCGGCGGAGGCAGCCGTGCCGGCGACGGCGCCGTTGGCGGCGGCGGAGGCAGCTGCCTCGCTGAGCTCGGAGCGGCGGCGCCAGCGCTCGCGCAGCAGGTGGCGCACCTTCTCACGGAAGTAGCGCGTGGTGAGTGTGTAGAGGATGGGGTTGAGCGCACTGTTGATGGGCAGGATGAAGATGACGACCCACGACGTGATGCTGCCTATGTGCGTGGGAGAGGGAGGGGAGAGAGTGAGAGGAAAAGCATGACGGCGTTCGTGATGGAGCGGCGGATTGGGAAAAAAACGAGGTTAGGATTGAGCTTTTTACGTTTGTCAAAGTTACACATGGTTGTTGACAAGATATTATTAGCAGTCATAACAAACTTCTCCCTGGCCCCATCCTTCCCTCCATCCCTAGGTACCCCCATAATTCCCATTCCCACTAACCTCCCTCCCCCTACCCAGACCTATCGCCCTCCCCTCTTTCCCCTCCTCCTCTCTTATGCCACGATATCACTTTTAGCTACCTGACTGTACCATTTGTAGATACACAGTGAGAGGTCTCTGGGTGTCGCGCCAGCCACAGTGCTGGAGGGGCGCCGAGCGCTGGGTGCCTCAATTGGTGGAGTTAAGGGCACGTGACCGGAAGCGGGGAGCCCCGGCCTTGATACAGCAAGGGGCGTGGCCAAGGGATAAAGGGGGAGCACCGAGGGCATTCGAGGCTCGTTTCGAGGATCAAGCAAGAAGGGGAGCTTGGCTTGAACGCCGCTCGTCGTGAGCATGTAGTTTAGCCGGGAAGCGTGGTCGGTTAGCAAGTGCTACAGACACGTTCGTTAGCTAACACACATGCACATAATGAGAAGCCTAGGACAAGTTAGCTACACTTAACAACAGAATCCGGTGTTCAGTGCTTTGTTTAATAAATGCGTTGCCTCCTACAACAGTGTGTATGCCTCAGGAACGTCACGGCAGAAAGGAGCATCTCAACGAACGACCTCATCTCCACCATCGCTGCTCTCGCAGCTGCCCTGCTGGAGGAGGAGGACGACAACGACGAGATGCTGACGCCGCAGCCGCGGCCCTCTGTGCCTGTTTCCCACTTGTGGGAAATGGGCACTGTCGCCCTGCAAGCGGGGGACGACTGCAGGACGCCGTGCCCACGGACTTCGGTAGGAGCTGTTTCCTGCGGGCAGGAAACCGCAGGAGCGTGCGGCGCACTGGAGCCCGCAAAAATTTTTAAACCGCGGGAAGGCGCTCCTGCCAACACCGTCTTCCCGCCGACGCCGCTGGCTCCCGCCCGTGGACTAAAGAAGCGCCTTCCTTTCGTCCGGGAATTCACGTCAGTGGGCGGCGACTGGGTGGCATTCCAATGCCGCTTTGTTGCCGCCTGCAGCCTCGCGGAATGGACGGAAGAGGAGGTGCTGCGAGCGCTACCTACGGCGCTTGACGACGATGTATTGGCGGCCCTCAACGCCATTCTCGACGAACAGAAGACGATGCTACCGCAAGCCCTGGTGCAAATGGGAGGCGATTTTTGCTCCAGCCTCCGCCAAGCGCCACAAGTTCTCCATGCAGTAAAGGGGGGAAGCAGAGACGCCCCTCGCTTATCGCGCCGCTCTTCTGGCGTCCACCAAGGCGGCCTTCCCCAGGATGGACCAAGTGGAGAGAGACTCCCTGGTCCTGGAAGAGCTGCCGTCGTGGGTCATTATACCGGCCACGGAAGACGACGACATCACCTCGCTCAAGGTCACCTGCTGTCTGGAGGCTCACCTCCGTATCCGGCGATGGGGCAGGGTGATTGTGGGTGCACCTCCGGTAGAGGAGGGAGCAACCACCGGTGGACTGCATCTACAGGTGGGGGTTTCGAGTCGACAGAGAGATGGGTCCGTCATCTATTTCAAGTGCGGCCTGCTTGGGCACGTCTCCGTGGGGTGCCGCGTCCGACAAGGAGGATCCTCTTCATCAACACTGGCCGCCGATCGTCACTCCTTCTCTTCACCAGGCCCTAAGGTGGGTCGCAGTACACTACACATGCAGCCCCCCTCACTCACCTCACTCATCGGGTTCAGGGTCAAGGGTTGTGGACTTGTGGTAGGGGGCGTCGCGTTATGTACCTCGCCTTTCGGATCCGGAATCACGGGTCGCGGGATTACGTCAGGGTGGATCGCGTCCCGATCAAGGGTTGGTGGGTGAGGGGTGGCCCAAATGCCCCGTGCAATTGACGGCCCTGGGCCGCTGTATTGTGGCGGCGGGTTCGTCCGCGGTCATAGGGACGGTCGAGGTCGTTGACGTACGCGTCCTTTTTGACACCGGTGCATCGGCGACCATTATCTCAGACATAGTTTTCGAAAGCTTGCCGCCAAAGTTGTGCGCCATTTTATCCGTCGCGATTCCCTGTTTCACCGCGAACGGCCAGTCTCTAGGAATTGTCGGTCAGATTTCGGCCACAATTGGCATTGGCGACATTCAGTTGTCAGGTCTGGTACTAATTTCCAAATCTTTAGCCGTACCCTGTCTGTTAAGGACCAATTTCCTAGGTAGCATGCCGCTCAAAATCCTGGTGGATCAGGGCTCCATTGAGTTGCCGTCGGGCTGCCGCATGGCTTTCTTGTCATTACCAACTTTGTTTCACACAGCGAAAGTGTCGGTCTCTGGCATGGCTAACCAAAGGGTTAAAATTCCCCCCGGGGCGCAGATGCTGATCCCCTTGCAGTTTAAAAAGCACCTAGATCGCAAAACGGCTCCGCACGTGTTGTTGATGGTTCCCTCCACCAGGGCGGTTCACGCACAAAATTTGGTTTATGCGCAGACTTTGGTTGCAAGCGATAGACAACCTTTTATTCAGGTCCTGAATGTCGGTCCAGACGCGTCAGTGATTGAAGAGGGCACTGTCTTAGCTCACGCATCGGCCGCAGGTGGCGTTCATAAAAACGGTGGGAATAAAGGTATTGCAGTGGCTGCGGGGCAGGGTGAGGACGTTGCCGAGGCATGGTTAAACACGCTCTGTTCCGAGAGCAAGGACCTATCTGATGCACAGAGGCTCGAGCTGCGTGCGCTCTTATCGGAACTTTCCGATGTATTTAGTAAATCTAAATTCGACATTGGCTGCACACCTTTATGGTGCCACCACATTGACACGGGAGATTTGTGCCCTTTTCATCAAAACCTGTATCGCCTGAGTCCTGCGGAGAAGGCCCATGTGCGCCACGCGGTGGATGAAATGCTGGCCGCAGACATTATCGCTCCCTCCAACAGTCCATAGGGTGTGCCCATCGTTCTTGTAAAGAAACAGGACGGTAGTTTGAGGTTCTGCGTGGACTTCCGCAGACTCAATAAAGTCTCCGTGGCAGATGCGTACCCACTTCCGCGGAAGGACAACTCGTTGGAAACGTTGTCAGGGGCGCGGTTTTTCTCCACACTTGATTTGCTGTCGGGATTTTGTCAATTGCTCTTAGATGACAGCTCGAGGCCAAAGACTGCATTTCGCAAGCCCCAGGGTATTTTCGAGTTCAACCAGCTCCCGATGGGATTACACTCAGCCCCGGCCAAATTTCAACGGTTGATGGAGCTAATGCAAGCGGGCCTACAATGGGATGCGTGTTTAATTTATCCCGACGATGTCATCGTGTTTGGACACACGCTCGAGGAGCACCTGCAGAGGTTGCGGGCTGTTTTCCTCAAAATGTGAGCTGCTAAATTGAAGTTTAATCTGCATAAGTGCTATCTCCTGCAGAGATCGGTCAAATACCTAGGCCATATCATCGACGAATCCGAGATTTCGACGGACCCTGACAAAACTGCGTGCGTGCGCACGTGGCCAACCCCCAAGTAGATGGGTGAGGTACGTAGTTTTGTCGGGTTCGCCTCTTATTATCGACGCTTCGTCCCCAGGTTCGCCACGATCGCAAAGCCGCTCCATGTCCTCACAGCCTAGGACTAGAAATTTCGGTGGGGGGCAGAGGAGAAGGCTGCGTTTGCCACGCTGCACGACAGCCTGGTCAACGCGCCTCCCCTTCGGTACCCTGATTTTTATTTGCCCTTCGTCCTCGATACTGACGCTAGCAATACTAGTATTGGCGTCGTTTTGTCACAAGTGGTGGATGGAGTAGAGCGTGTGGTCGCATACGGCAGTAGGGTGCTTTCTCCAGCGGAGCAACGTTATTGCGTTACACGCTGTGAGTTGCTGCCGATTGTTTTTTTTGTTCAGCAGTGCCGGCCGTACCTCTATGGGCGGAAATTCCAGGTGCGATCAGACCACGCGGCCTTGCAATACACGCTGCGTGTTGAGAAACCGTCCGGCCAGCTGTCCCATTGGCTCAAGGTCATTCAGGACTATGCATTCGAGGTCTCATATAGAAAGGCCGTCCGCCACTTGAATGCTGACGCGTTGTCACGTCTGCCAAACGGTGACAAGTGCGCGTGCACATCGGGTGCGGGACGGTGCAGGCCCGCTGATTCCGCTCCGCCCCGTGAGGTCGTTGCTGCGGCCGATGTCGCTCACACGGACGCAGCTGACACATGTGACCACACGCTCGGTCTCTCCAACTTCTGGGACTTGCATGTCCTAGGGGTCCTGGCCGCATATAGATTGGCCTCCCATGCGTCCACCGGCTACTCACCATTTTTTCTTATGTATGGGAGGAAGCAAGATCTGCTCATTGACGCACAGCTAAATCCAGATCTGGCTCAAAATAAACTGCCCGACCTTGTACGGGTTACCCTCCAGCGCCTGTTGGAGGATAAGGATGCCTCCCGCGGGAAACTCGGCTTTGAAGCAAGCTGCCAACGAGCGGCAGGTAGGTGCCCGGGAGACTGGGACCAAATGGGCAGTCGGGGAAAGGGTGATGCTTCATTGCCCCAAGGTTCCCGTAGGGACGTCCCCTAAGCTCTACATACCATGATGGGGGCCCATGGAGATCGTCAAGGTAAAAAGGTCCGCAGAGCATCCGCATACAATTCGGTCGAAGGCGCTGGTTTGTACATACGTTGCGCCTCATCATTTTGTCTGCTGGACAACGCTCATTCATCTCAAATCCCTGGGGGCTGTGTGTCCAGTGTGCCCAACGAGCCAAGGCGCGCATCCACGGGAATGATGCCTCAGAGATGCTCTGCCTCTTCCCCCTCAGGGTCCCAGCTACTGAGGTCTAGGGAGCGCAAGTCAGGGGCGGACAACCATTGTTGGGTCCTTCCTCTTCGGTCGGGCGGCCTTCTCCTTCGCCACCTGGAGAGGGGCCGCGGGCCTCGGGCCAGCCTTGTCACACGCCGGAACCATCCGCGGAGGTCTCCCCTAACCTGGCTGGGGGCCCGGCGACGAGGACGTGCTTGAAAACTGACCGCTTCCACCATTAACTCTCGCCGGTACGCTGCTATTTATGCACACCATTGGCTGGTGGTCTCGCTCGTGAGCTGGGGTGGGGGAGGCGGACTCGGCCCCGTCCTGTGCTCGTGGAGGGGGGAAGGCATACGTGCGGTGGTGGCACAGGGCTGGCTGTCGGGAGGGCGAATCACCCCTTGAGATTGCCGTCCTTTCTTCTTTTATCTCACGGCTCTTGTGTTGTGTTGTTGGGGCACGTCGTTCGGGGTTATTGTTACACTTACCATTCACGTTACATTTGGGCTCCCGCTTTGTTGAGAAATTGGCGGTGAGACGAGTTGAGGAGTTTTTTTTTGGGTTGTCGGAAATTTTTCTCCTCTACTCCTTCCAGCCACAGTGCTGGAGGCGCGCCGAGCACCGGGTGCCTTGATTGGTGGAGTTAGGGGCACGTGACCGGAAGCGGGGAGCCCCGGCCTTGATACAGTAAGGGGCGTGGCCGAAGGCGGAGTGGAGGTGCGGCCAAGGGATTAAGGGGGAGCGCCGAGGGGATTCGTGGCTCGTTCCGGGGATCAAGCAAGAATGGAAACTTGGCATGGACGCCGCTTGTCGGGAACGTGTAGTTTAGCCGGGAAGCGTGGTCAGTTAGCAAGTGCTACAGACCCATTCGCTAGCTAACACACACGCACATAGAGGGCAGCCTAGGACAAGTTAGCCACACTTAACAACAGATCCGGTGTTCAGTGCTTTGTTTAATAAACGCGTTGCTCCTACAATGTGTGTGTGCCTCAGGTCGTCATACACTATACATTTATAACTCTTGTAAAGCGCCTTGGATATAATGCGCTATATAAATATAAGATAAGGTAAGATTGTGCAGTGTATTTATTCGGGAAAGCCTCACTGAGTTACTTTCAAGGAGGTGCCTGCGCTGGACCAGAGCCAACAGTGGAGATGATCGCCACCCTCATCGCTCAAATGGAACAAGCAGAATGGGTTTAATGCTGCACATGAGTTTCCGACGTTTTCGTTTTTTAAAATTCAATGTCAAACAGAAGAAAACATGAAAAGGGACTGCATTGGGTTGTGTTTGTAAAAGTCAACGTCTCTCCCCAAATGAGTGTGAGGCAATGCTTGTTCTCCATTAGCAGCCCCGAGCCTGCGGTTGAAATTCCACATGCTTGATGGTGGGGTTCACAAAACAAAAGATATTGAGAATGTAGAAAGTGGTACTCAATGTACAATTCCTAGAGGAATGATGATGATGAGCTGAGTGGAACCTTGACTGGCATTTTAACTCATTGTCTTCCCAACTGTGATTCAAATGGCAACCGTAGCACCATTCAGCCAGAAGATGCGCAGAAGATGGCTATTCTTATAATTAAGGCTACGATTTTGACGCAGTCAGGTCTAGGAAATGTATGGCCGCAATGTGGGGAAAAAAACAACGGCACAAAGGAAGGTCAAGGGACACGGTGAGATGGCGGCTGCTTTGTTGTAAGAAAAAAAAGGTTTTATTTAAAATAAAAACTTTTCAAATAACCGCTTAAAAGTTTTAACAAGAATGCCACTAAGTGGCTAGTTTAAGTCATTCTCTTAAGTTGTTTTATTTTGATAGACTCAATAAAAATTTAACATAGGGCTGCTGGTTTTCATCGCGACAGCCCGGTTTCTTTCATCATCCCTCCACCCCCACTACACCCCTCCACCCCCTTCCACCTCCACCGCCCCCACAGCCGATGCAACGCCCCTCACGTCGCACACTGAAAAGACGGCCCACGCCGTCGGGCAAAATTCGAAAAAGTCGAGTAAAGTAAGCGCCGATTCTCACGTCTTTCCGTGACCACCTCCAAGACTTCACTGTGACGTATGCTCAAAGTCAACGTTAGCCCTCTCCGTTGCGAGCCTCATTTCGGTATCGGGGCGTTACACACCGGGGATCTCGGCATGCAGCAGCGACAGCAGCTTGAGCAGGAAGATGGGCAGCCAGCAGAGCGCGTCAGTGAAGACGATGAAGAAGAAGCGCTTGGCGATGCCGATCTCCTTGCTGATGCGGTTGCACAGCTCGGCCGTTTGGAGGCCCGTGCGCCGCACACTGCAGAACATGCTGATGTAGCAAAAGACTATGGTGACGAATGCTATGAGGTTCACTCCTGCACACCGCACAAACAACAGAGGGGTTAGAGAGGACTTCAGCAACGCCAGTGCATGTCAAAGGGGAGCGAAAACAAAAAAAGCAGCGGCAATCCGTCAAATCCTTCATTTCAGAAGCCAACGTGTCTCGAAGCTTAAAACAAGTTCCAGGCAGAGCTCATATCCATTTGTGGCCATGAGCCAGTGGTATAATCTCCACATTTTCGTGAATTCCTGAGGAGGCAAGATATTTCAGGGGTCACACCACTGAGCTGTTATCATGGAGATCCTGCATCTGCATCTGGGATTCAGCCACCCATTATTAAAGCAGGCGCTCGAGTGTATTGAATTGGTGGTTATAGTCCAGACACTAATGACAACATGAACAATTAACCCCATGATACAAATTATTTTTGACTTACTTCTGAGTAGCACGGCTATAACACATACAATTTGTAAATACATTGGAAAATTACATGCAGTGACCACTCCTTAGAGAACATGCAGGAATGCTATAACATCTTGGAGGTGCCACAGCGGCGAGATGTTAACTACCTCGCCCCGTATACAGGAAGTCGTGGGCTCGATCCCGAATCTGACGCCTGTATATTTGGAGTTTGCGTGTTCTCGGAGTCGCGTGGAATTTTCTCTGGGTTCTCCGGGTCTTTCCCTCCATATTTAGAATCAACATGATGCATTTAGAGTATTTGGGTGCTATAATCGTCCACATGACGAGCCACTTCGTTGATAGTTAATTTGAGGCCAGATCACCTCTGAAAAAGAGCTATGTAGCTCAGTGGGCCTGACCTGGTAAAATAAAAAATTGTTTAGTTTTAGGTGGTATTTAATTGATACGAGAGGTAGTTTTTTGGTATCATCTTCTGGGATCACTCCCTGATGCAATATCAGATTTTATTGAGTCACAGAGGTCACAGATGTCCGATGTGTTTTCGGACTGCACCACGCGTTGTTCGGGCGGGGATGCCTGACATTTCAATCCACATGCTCGGAGCTTCTTCCGCTCCGAATCATTTCATTTCCTGAAGAAGCTGCCAGTACATGCAGCTAAGCATCGGACACCATGCCAAACAACACGTGGGAAAACTTGAAAACACATTGGAGAGCGACGCAGCACACCCGTGAAAGCATATACAGTGACAGAGATTATAGTAAGAACAATCAATCAAAACAAAATGCATATCCGAGACTCCCATGATTCACAGCACAGTATGATGGAAGCCAACAGTAGTTGCGCTTTGGATGTTTGAATGCCTGCGCTGGAAATGTGGAATTCCTACCACATTTTCTGCATTGCCATCTTTTTAACACGTACAGTTGCATCAGTGAGACTTTGAATTTGGGTCAAAAATTAGTGATGCAAGTGCTGTTCGTAAAATGGACTTTACTTTAAGAATAAAATTAATGCCAAATCCCCGTGGGGTGGGCCCTCACCCGGGTAGTCCCTCACCCTCACCCGGCTTGTGCAGTACAGACAGTTATTAGAATGATTGCATTTGGTTCATCCACGCGGCAGTTGCTTACATAATACACACGTGTCCATGATTGTCCGCATTGAAACAGTAGAATCTATTTGCAACGGTGTGGTATATGCGCAGCCATATCCTTTGAGTATCAACAACGGAGCAGTAAGATAAAAGCAGGTCTTTTGATAAGCATTGACAATGTAATTATTTTCTTCCCAGGAAATGCACACAGATAGTTCCCTTTGAATTGTATGTTCTTTCCTGGTGTGTTTGCCATCAAACTGCCTATTGGCGTGTATGCATCAAGATGACGTGCTTGACTTCCCCCAATGAAGTTGTACGCCGTGATGAATAGCATGACTAAATGGACGACGAACAATGTTTACCTTACAGCTAACGTGAGAACATCCAAAGTATTTTCCATCCCGCATCTGCACCTCCCCCCCCAGAATGTGCCAACAATCTATTAGATTACTAGCGGGAAGTACCCGGCGTTGCCCAGGGGCAAAATATATTTCAAACCTCTTAAAAATATAACATCTACATTCTATTGTGAAAGCCCAGCGGGCCATTTGTCTGTACATTTGTCCGTCAACAAAATTAAAAGAGGCTTGCAGAAGTCCAAGAAGTGATATAAAGTGGGGGGTAAGTAGTTGATCTAAAAGGTTTCTGAAAATTGTCGACCCCCCCCCTCAAAAAATATTTTTACCCCCACGTAGGCATATATACAGTGAGGGAAAAAAGTATTTGATCCCCTGCTGATTTTGTACGTTTGCCCACTGACAAAGAAATGATCAGGCTATAATTTTAATGGTAGGTTTATTTGAACAGTGAGAGACAGAATAACAACAAACAAATCCAGAAAAACGCATGTCAAAAATGTTATAAATTGATTTGCATTTTAATGAGGGAAATAAGTATTTGACCCCCTCTCAATCAGAAAGATTTCTGGCTCCCAGGTGTCTTTTATACAGGTAACAAGCTGAGATTAGGAGCACACTCTTAAAGAGAGAGCTCTTTGGTCTTGGCCATGGTGGAGAGTTTGGAATCTGATTGATTGCTTCTGTGGACAGGTGCCTTTTATACAGGTAACAAGCTGAGATTAGGAGCACTCCCTTTAAGAGTGTGCTCCTAATCTCAGCTCGTTACCTGTATAAAAGACACCTGGGAGCCTGAAATCTTTCTGATTGAGAGGGGGTCAAATACTTATTTCCCTCATTAAAATGCAAATCAATTTATAACATTTTTGACATGCGTTTTTTCTGGATTTTTTTGTTGTTATTCTGTCTCTCACTGTTCAAATAAACCTACCATTAAAATTATAGACTGATCATTTCTTTGTCAGTGGGTAAACGTACAAAATCAGCAGGGGATCAAATATGTTTTTCCTTCACTGTACCTACACACCCTACATACAATAGAGTGACTAGTATCTAGTGACTCTACAGTAGTATCTGAATATACTGACTCTACAGTAGTATATATTGACTCTATAGCAGTATCTACAGACTCTATAGTAGTGTAGTGTATGACATACACGCAGGCGCACACACAATAAGTTAGAGGCAATACGTTTAATAAACGTCTATGAACACTCTGAGTCCGCTTGCTAGGTGTGGCTTTATATCGCTATGTGCATGTGTGTTAACTAAACAAACGAGTCAGCAGCATATAGCAGTATCTACTGACTCTAGAGTAGTATCTTCTGACTCTATAGTAGTATCTACTGACTCTATAGCAGTATCTGCTAACTCTGTAGTTGTATCTATTCACTGTACAGTAGTATCTACCGCCTGTATAGTAGTAGCTACTAACTCTATAGTAGTATATGCTGACTCTATAGTAGTATCCACTGACTGTAGTTGTATCTACTATCACGACAGTAGTATATACTGACTGTAGTAGAATCTACTATCACTACAGTAGTATATACTGACTGTAGTAGTATCTACTATCACTATTCGTATATACTGACTGGAGTAGAATCTAATATCACTATAGTATATACTGACTGTAGTATTAGCTACTATCACTACAGTAGTATATACTGACTGTAGTAGTATCTACTATCACTACAATAGTATATACTGACTGTAGTATTAGCTACTATCACTACCATAGTATATACTGACTGCAGTAGTAGCTACTATCACTACAGCAGTAGATACTGACTGTAGCAGTATCTGCTATCGCTCCAGCAGTACATACTGTATCTGCTATCGCCACAGCAGTACATACTGACTGTAGCAGTATCTGCTATGACCACAGTAGTACATACTGAATGTAGTAGCATCTGATATCACTACAGTAGCACATACTGACTGTAGCAGTATCTGCTATCACTGCAGTAGTACATACTGACTGTAGCAGTATTTGCTATCACTACAGTAATATATACTGACTGTATCATTATCTGCTATCACTACAGTAGTACATACTGACTGTAGCAGTATCTGCTATCGCTACAACAGTACATACTGTATCTGCTATTGCCACAGCAGTACATACTGACTGTAGCAGTATCTGCTATCATCACAGTAGTACATACTGAATGTAGCAGTATCTTCTATCATCACAGTAGTACATACTGACTGTAGCAGTATCTGATATCACTACAGTAGTACATACTGACTGTAGCAGTATCTGCTATCACTACAGCAATATATAATGACTGTATCAGTATCTGCTATCGCTACAGCAGTACATACTGTATCTGCTATCACCACAGTAGTACATACTGAATGTAGCAGTATCTTCTATCATCACAGTAGTACATACTGACTGTAGCAGTATCTTCTATCACTGCAGTAGTACACACTGACTGTAGCAGTATCTGCAATCACTACAGTAATATATACTCACTGTATCAGTATCTGCTATCACTACAGTAGTACATACTGACTGTAGCAGTATCTGCTATCACTACAGCAGCACATACTGTATCTGCTATCGCCACTGCAGTACATACTGACTGTAGCAGTATCTGCTATCACTACAGCAGTAGATACTGACTGTAGCAGTATCTGCTATCGCTACAGCAGTACATACTGTGTCTGCTATCGCCACAGCAGTACATACTGACTGTAGCAGTATCTGCTATCATCACAGTAGTACATAATGAATGTAGCAGTATCTTCTATCATCACAGTAGTACATACTGACTGTAGCAGTATCTGATATCACTACAGTAATATATACTGACTGTATCCAGTATCTGCTATCACTACAGTAGTACATACTGACTGTAGCAGTATCTGCTATCACTACAGCAGTAGATACTGACTGTAGCAGTATCTGTTCTCATTACAGTAGTAGCTACTATCACTACAGTAGTATATAATGACTGTAGTAGTAGCTACTATCACTACAGTAGTATCTGCCGACTCTATAGTTGTATATACCGACTCTGTAATAGTATCTACCGAGTCTATAGCAGTTAACTACTAACTTAAGAGTGCCGTGGTGAGGCCTAGTCCCGTGCAGAGCCCCCGGCCTCGCCTAGATTGCCCAGCCGGCCAAGGTGGCACCTTGGCAGGCTGCGGCTGGGCTGCTAGACACCCACCCCCCCCCGCTCTACAGTAGCAGTAACTACAAACTCTACAGTAGTATCCACCTACTCTACAGTAGTATCTACCTACTCTACAGTAGTGTTTACCTACTCTCTAGTCGTATATACCGACTCTATAATAGTATATATCGACTCTATAATACTAACTTCACAGAGTGCCGTGGTGAGGCCTAGTCCCGTGCAGAGCCCCCAGCCTCGCATAGATTGCCCAGCCGGCCGAGTTGGTGCCTTGGCTGGCTGGGGTTGGGCCGCTACTCCCCCAGCCCACCATCCCCCCGCCCGCACTACAGTAGTAGTATCCACGGACTGGGGTGGGTGGGGGGAGAACAGGACATCACACACAACGTTTTTTTGTTGAATTTTGAACGCGAATGAGGATTCCCGCCCACCGAGTTACCGTTTTCGCGCATGCGCAGATGCGTGCTCTGGCACCACCCTGTGCTTATAAAAGGAATAAATTGTTAATTTAACTACTTTAAACTTGAGAGATGTGAAATACGAATAGCGATTTTTTCGTCCCGGGGCATATCGCGTGGTATCCGTGTACTTTTTTGATTCATAAACCCCAGAGTTTGTCAGTTAAAAACGTCACAAGGTACCCACGCAGAGAGACAGATGGACAGACAGAGAAAAAGTTACTTATATAGGTAAGATAACTAACATGCGTGCAGTTTAAAGGAAGTAACCTATTGGAAAGCAGTTACAAGTTAAGGTTTCACAAGTAATCTGCATTGTGCGTGAGGATACTTTGCAGGACTCCGTTCAACGACATAGAATAAACTGTGATGATTCTAAAATAAAATATACATTTGTACCAGTGAGATTGACAAATGTTTTTTTCGTGCAAGCGAGATCTGAGCATCTGCAAGTTGCGGTGCGACGGTGTGCTTTCTTTATATGCGTAGTTACTGTCGATTTCTATATCCATAATAGAGGTATTTGGATTAGATCACGAAAATATAAATGTGTCGCTAAACCTGCCACCACCTGACACAGCCAATTAGTAAGGTTTGTCACTTCAAAAAACATGCCACTTCATGACTAGTGCAGCACACCGGTGCATTAGAGAGTAAACCAAGAACATTTATAATTCTAACCCAAAAACCTCTATTATGGATATTGGTCGCAAAAGGCTACACTGCGTTAAACCGATCTCTATATCTTCATCACATCTCCTCCTTCCTGGCTGCTACCCAACCCTGAATGGAGTTTGCGTGTCTCTCCCTCTCCCCGTGGTTGTGTGGATTGACTCACGGGAACAGTATAAACAGCATATAGTATTGACAGATAATGTTAATTTAAGATCTAATTTAATGGCTTGGCCATGCAACAGTGTCAGTTGCACGTACAACCTGTTCTGGTTCTCTATAAGGTCAACTCAGTTTTATGGGTGCCACGGTGGCGAGATGTTAACCACCTCGCTTGGTATTTGGGAGGTGGTGGTGTTCGATCCTGATCCCGACCCTGACGCCTGTATATTCGGAATTTGCATGTTCTCCCCGTGGTCGCATGGATTTTTTCTCCAGGTGCTCCGGTTTTTACCTCCACACTTAGAAACATGCGTTTAGAGTATTTGGCTGCTAGAAATTTCGACATGATAAGCCACTTTGTTGACCAATCATTTGTTGCTAGGTCGCTTCTGAAAAAGAAGATAAAATAAATGTATGTGTTTATATTCTTGGTTCTTTCGGTAAAGTCACGTAGAAGGGAAACAATAAAATAATAAAAATATAAAACCATAAAATTCTCACGACGTTTCGACTGCAACACAAGCAATCATCATCAGGTGTGTGATTGCTTGTGTTGCAGTCGAAACGTCGTGAGAATTTTATTGTTTTATATTTTTATTATTTTATTGTTTCCTTTCTACGTGACTTTACCGAAATAATCAAGTTTATGAATCCCTGCAGTCACGAAAGCTTTAAATAAAAATATATTTATAGTTTTTGTGATTTCATTACCTTTCCTATACTTTGCACTCCTATCGTGTGTTTTTTATTGTTTGTGGTTTTAACGTTCTGACCCGCCCCAACTGGACATCTGTGAAAAAGAGCTTTATAGCTCATTGGATTCCTCCAGTATTATACACATAATTTTGGTAATATGTGCCTAATGCCTGACACTCTGTACACTGTGTGTAATGCTGGGTAGGCTACGTGGATCCGACTGAAGTCACAAATTATCCAATAAAATTTCTGCACCATGCTAACACCATCTGGAATGCCACACGTCTAGTGATAGGTGAAATGCACCGTAATTTTGTTGTGGCTGAAATCATTTCAGAATCCAATCGTGGAGATGTCTTCATTCTCAGAATGTATCTGGCACCGTCTGATGTCAATTTACCAGTTATTCCAAAGCGAAGACAGTTTCCAACCATTCCTGCATTTGCTATCACTGTCAATAAGTCACAAGGACAAACTGGTTTTGTTCCCATGGACAACTTTATGTCACTTTGTCAAGATGTAAAAATCCAACTAACATCATAGTGCTGATTTCAACAAAATTAATCTCAAGGAAAACTTTTGGGAGATGATCGCCAATTTACACCAAATGTGATATATAGACATTTTTGATTAAATACATTCAATACAATCTTAAAATTGTACTGCTACAGTCAGTCTTTTTCATGACATTAGATTTTTATTAACCGGTCACGTGACGGACAATTACACTAATAAATCAATATTCTGATTCTGATACGTTCTCTATCTCAATCCGTCCAAAACATCATTCATTTTATTTCCAGCCTCTCGCTCTCAACATGTGCTTCCCTTCTCTCTCCCCTCACTGCTGCTTCCTCTGCCCTCAACCTCGGTGTAATCTTTCACTCTTCCCGAATTTTTCCACCCACATCGCCACTACTACTCGCATCTGCCGCTTTCATTGATTCAATATCATAAATCTAATTTCATTTTCTGCTGCCAGACTCCTGGCTCATGCTCTGATGTATATATTTACCCGGTTTGGACCACTGAAATTATCCTCTTAGTCTTCCTGCCTACGCTCGCACTTCCCTGCAAAAAATAAAAATGCTTCCGCGCGGGTTATTTTCAATCTACCATTTAGTTGTCTACTTCACCGGCCTCCCGTTGACTGCATCGCTTTTTTTTAAATGGCTTACACTCGTCTTTAAATCTCTCCACGGCTTTGCCCCACTTCATCTCGCTTCTCTTATCTCTTTTTATGTCCCCTCGTCCTTTTCTTTCACAATCTTCTCTGTCTCTGTCTTTGTCCCTATTTCTCACCGTGCCCAATCTAGTTTTCCCTCCTTGCACACCACCACTGGAGTAAACGTACCCTGTACATAAAGCAGTTCCTCTCGTTAACTTCCTTTTGTTCCCCAAAGCTTTCCTCTTCTCCATTGCCCATTCCCTTCCTCTTGCTCCTCCACTTCGTCCCGTCCCTCCCCTCCCCTTTTGTGACTCCTGTGCTTCCTCTGTTACAGTCACTCATCCCTCGGCCCTTTCACATCCCTGCCATCTAAATCACTCTATTTTTGTAACCGCTTTTAAACTATGCAAAGTGCCTTGAGGTAAGGTGCTCTATGGTCTCATTGTATTGTCAACTAACTAAATTAAGCAATCAGATAAAGTTGTGTGAGGGCTGAAAAGGTCATTCTTTCAGCTCCCCGGTGAGGTAGAAGAATTATAATTTGCATGTTAAATTTTTGCACACCGCATGACAATTTCATTTGTTTGGCTGTGGAGGGTCTTCACGACAAAAATTACGGGGCCAAACCTGAGGCCTAACTCAAAACTCGAATTGTGGTTCGTGATATTGGCTGCGACAAACCAAATAGGTGCTGGCTAACACCATTCGCCAATTTGTAATACAAGGCTGAGTGAGGGATCTTTGTGCGTGTGTGTGTGGCCACACCACCCCCTCGTGTGCCTTCATAGGTGCTGCTGCTACTCGCTACATACAGCACGTATCCCTTGAGCCTGTTAAGAGGCTACATGGGGGGCCTTTGTCTTTGTAACGTATGGCACACCAGCCTTCACAGCCAGCTGAGAGTTTATGAATATGTTGTTTTGTGGATGGGCTGTTACCTAGGAATATGGCCACGGAGTAGGCCTGAGCCCCGGGCCTCTCGGTCTGGTCCGAGTGCAGTGGGAAGCAGACCCCGTTGCGGCCATAATAATTCCCAAAGAAGTCTTCATTCCACAGTGGCGTGAAGGCGACGGCGAATCCCAGGAGCCAGATGGCGGTGAGAACGGAGAACGTGCGGCACCGCTTCGGCCTGAGCGACAACGGAAACTGCTTCAGTTCACATTGCACTTTGCTAGGGGTTGCCACCTCTGGGGTAAAAAAATAACCGAGACATATCACATCGTATCATCTTGTCAAGGAGCATAAACCATCATGCGAACTCCGGTTATCCTCGCAGTGACTTTCACCTGGCCATCGAACGAAGATGGCCACCGCATCGCGCGCTTTCAAATGTGCTTCTGCGGCCGTCTGGAAGGCTCTTCCTTCCAATATTGTGAAGCCACTGGAGCTATGCACTTTTTAATCTAATTTCAAAACGAATGTCTTTAGAACTGGTTTTAGTGTTTTGTTTGTTGTCCTTCCGCACGTGCGATTACCACGGTTGGCAATGTACGGCGCGAAAGAAATTCAACATACATACATACATGTTATTGCATTTTCTTGAGCGGTGTATTATAAGACCTTCAGATATGCTGGGACAGCTACCTCAAATAGAAACTGATCCTGGAAAGAAAATGGAACAAGTGGCAAATCTGTAAACAGTAAAACTTGATGAATACTGCTGGGCTGCCTGATGTCATAGGCAAGAGCCATCCTCCATGAACACCGTGGGCCCGTTCAGCACAGTATTTTATTACTTGTTGTCTTGCTAGAATGGGAAAGCCTGGCACAGTACATTAGGAGATTGGAGTGGTGTGGCCAGAACCACGCTTGCCCGTCTTTGTCTCCCCAGTATTGATATGTACACTGCACCAGGTACTCATTTGAGGCTGAGTCAACTCAAGGGAGGATCAGGACTAGTTTGGACATTCCTCACTGATGGCAGTAGGAATTTAACTCAGGTCACCAGATCTCACCAATAGCATAAAAAAATATATATTTTTACGTTTAATTGAATGAAAAATGATGGACTGAGCTATATAGCTCTTTTTCAAAATTGACCTGGCCACGAATAATAGCTCAATGAAGTGGCTCATAATGTGGAAAATTATAGAAGCCAAATACCCTAAACGCATGTTTCTAAATGTGAAAAATCGGATGACTCGTAGAAAAATCCACGTGACCACGGGGAGAACATGCAAACCCCAGATATACAGGCGTCAGGGTCAGGATCGAACCCACGCACCTCCTGTATACCAGACAAGGTAGTTAACATCTCGCTACCATGACCTTTCAGTACTTAGAAGTGATCCGAAGATCTCAGGAGACCTTATTGGAGTGTAAAATGTAGTAATTTCTTACAAATATTGCGGGGATAATCCATTGGGCATATTGTAGATCATTGTTTAAATCCGGGAAGCTGCCCTGGTGAATAGCGCAGGTGTATTAACCATCAAGATATGCAGTTCGCTTTGCAGTGGACGTTAGCAATGCCTTGGCGTCTTCTGAAATTAGTGGGCTATTGTGTGCTAGCATCATGGTTCAAATTCGAACATCTGAAACAATTACAGTACAGTACTCGTTTGGAATTACACATAGCAGCGTCGTCCCCCCTGCTGGCGGACTACATACATCTGAGAAACAGCGCATTCGCGATAGCCACGTGCTGTAACGATGGTATATGTATGTATGTTTACGTCTTTTCGCACTGTGCGTAGCCAACCGTGCTAATCGGAGTTGCGGGCGAAATACCAAACGCACCAGATTACAATGATCGTAATTTGTAGAGGTTGCACACCTGAAGTTGCTGAAGGGAAAGACGATGCAGAGGTACTTCTCGATGGTGAGATAGGTGAGCAGGAGCACCGAGACCTCGGTGGAGAGCATGGCGAGGGAGCCCATGATGCGGCACGGCACGCTGGCCATCCAGAGCTGTGCGTGGCGGTTGTACTCCCCGCGGTAGCGCAGGTCATACGCCCCCACGAAGAACAGGTAGATGCCCATGAGGCAGTCGGCGCCTGATGCAGAGGGTGCACACGATGGCATGCTATTGGGTGGTGACTTTAACCCTTTTCCTGTTTGCGAGACGTCTGCAAAGTCGGTAGGGTGGGGTGGGGTCCCGTAAACCGCTGAATCTCGGAACGCGCGAGTGGTTCGGCGTTGGTTTTATTTAGAGAGGCGTAGCGCTGCTGTTTTTTTAAAGACACTGGACTCACCGCAGAGAACTGTAATGACACGATCGCACTCCATGATAGCTGGCACAAAATTTTGCCACACGCCCTCCCACATGGCATTATGGGAGACTCGGAACCGATAAAGTTATTGTATTTATTCGTTCCGATGACATACACGGAATTGGGAAAAAACTGATGACGTACGTCATCTGATTGGGAATGGGTGAACAGGCTAGTGGGGTGTTAGCGGCACAGTACATGAGGGGGTGGTGTGGCCAGAAGCATGGTTGGCCGTCTGTCTCCCCAGGCTCAAAATCAGTTTAGACATTCCTCACTGATGTTAGCAGGAATTGAACTCGGGTCGCCAGATCCCACAAATAGCATACAAAGTATAGATTTTAACGTTTAAGTATTATTAATTTAATGAAAACTGCGCTTTTAAATCTTAATTGAAAACGCATTTCTTTAGAACTGCTTTGTGCGTTTCGTTTATTGTCCTTCCCCAACACCTCCGATTTTCACAGTTGGCTACGTACGGTGCGAAAAAAGTTCAACATACATATGAAAATGAGTTCTGTAGTGCTGGCTACGCCAAGTCAGTGATGGGGAATTTATGTTCTTTTAATTTTTTCTCAATCCTTGGTTGGCCACTGCTTGCACGATTTGCCAATTCAAATTATAATAACGTGGCGTGCACATTCTGTCAAGAGAGATGTGTTTATTCTACATACTAATTTGTGTGAACTGAACATATTCTGTGGCATTATTTGAAGGCCAGTACATTGCGTGATGTATCATATCCAAATTTGCAGACTTACCTGACAATTGCTAAGTTGTTAGATTGTCCCTGACGGAACAATTTCTGGAAGTTCATGCCTACAATAACAAGTCGGTGGCTATTTCTGTTTCGCCCAAAGCTCAGGCAAGTCAATCGTGTAACTTGGTATATGGATGATGGATGGAAGTTAAAATGTTAACAGTCACATTAATTCCCTCCCTCGGGATAGAGCAGTGGCACAGTGATTAGTGGACTACACTGGGAAGTCAGATACTTGAGTTTAATTCCAGGCTAACATCAGTAAAAATAAAAATGCATCCCTACACTTGCCAGCTCACGCCACTGTTGGCAGAAAAGCATCCACAAGAGGGAGCTCTAGAGAGGCTATATTGGCCTACTCTTCCACCCTGGCAAGACGTCTTAGAAGACGTGGGAGTACCAACACTTCATCCCACCACACGCGACCCGCCGATCTAACTGTGGCGCACCGATGGGTGCCCAGGATTTAAGAGACTTGGCCATTGTTTCAAATATTTCGCCGGGAGACCGAACCAGTTGGCCTCTGGATTGCAGGTCCAGTGTGATAGCCACGATACCACGGCAGCATCATGATCAACATGGAGTGTGATATTCGAACTGGTTCTGAGATTCCCCCTCCGCCTCACTCCCTTTGCAAATTAGCATTGAGCATTGTGGAGTATGGTAAAACAACCCCCCCCATGGGAGGCCTTAATCCTGCATTTGGATTGCCAAAGGGGCTGTGCAATTTCCTAATTTTATTTATTTACTTATTTTAAATAAAGAGGTATATCCCGACCACCAGAACATGCGCTCTTCATATCATTTGCAATTGGGGCTAATTAGGTGGCGGGGGAGGGCGCAGAAACTATTGCTAATAATGAAAGCTTTATTAAAGTGATTATATCGGTAAAAAGGTGATTAGTAATCCGTATAACCTATTCTGATGCAATAGAATAACGATATTTTTGTTAATCACTTTCTTCTCGTTTTAGTCTGGCAACTGATTTGTTTTTCATTGCACGTACCCGTTGTTTTGTAGAATGGTATGTTTCATGTCTAAATAGTTTACTCTAAAAATTTCGAGAACAGTCTTTTTTTGGTGGCTTTATAGATGACGTTAGTTAAAGATTTATCTTGTACTTTTTTTACATTTAACTTTGAAGGCAAATTTATTTCGTTCATTCGGCTTGCACTTTGTATTCTTTCCAAGTCTGGTGGTAACTCATTTGAATGTCACACGCAGTGCACATCATACAGAGTGGCAGTCGTAACGTATATATGGATAAGAATATAAAATATCCACTACTGGCTCAGGACTGCAAATGATTCGCCCTGCCCTAATGCCCATAACAGCATCGAGGCATATTGACTTAACTTCAAATGTATAACTCCAGTATACATAATTGCCCATTATGCATGCATTCAAACAGACCATACAAATGTCTTACACACATATACACACTCATAGTTGTGCACATTCAGTCTATTTATAACATATTTCGATTTCACATTCACGGTAACATTTCTCTGTAAATAAAAATAATAATGACGACTTGCCACTTGTTGAAATCCCAAACGTCGTTGGAAGTCATTGCTATATTTCTGTAGCTTTTTTCCCCCATTTTAAGAATAACAGTAAAACTATATTATTATCAACACAAAAATGTCCATTAAATCTGGTGACCTAATTAAAATGTCATTCCAAATTTACAAGAAATGCTTTGGATCCCATTTATCAAGCCTGAAATCTTAGAACACGGTAAACGAACGCTGTATACACGTGTCATCGACAGACATTCTCCTATAATTGCATAGACTTGTTATTGCACGGAGTATTATTTCAAATGCACATCAGAGCCATTACACAACACAATCGTGGAGCCAGCCAAGTGGAAACATAGTTTGAGCACTCGTCTGACAATTGGAAGGTTCTGAGTTCATATCCCACTGGGCAATTCAATCAGCCCATCAAACAAAGGAGTAACACTCTATGTGGGAAATTAAAAGGTTCTCCAATTCTTAAGAATTAATTTTTACACTTGGTTTTACGCAGGAGACTCTCCCTGAGTCTCAAGACTCTTTTTTAAAAGGGTCCTGCCAAGTTGTCGTGATGTTGCTACATGCAATACCGACTGAATGATTTGCAGGCAATTTATTGCATCGGGATGTTTGGCCAATACCAGTTACATTTTACCCGTGAGTATGAAAACCAGGGGACCCCATAGGAAGCCCATGCAAAACTGGTGAAGACCATACAAATTTCACGCAGAAAGGAGCCCGAGTCGGAAATCGAACCCAGGCCCTCCTTGCTGCGAGACTACGAGTGTTATTGCTGCGCCGATATGTCTGTGCCACAACAAAATTTATTTTTTTACCACAGACTCAGGGCGGCCAAACGGTGGAAACGAGTGGCGGTCCCAATGCTCATCAGCACTTGGGTGAGACGGAAGCAGTCGCCCGTAGTGCGGTGGCCGTGGGCGGCGTGGTGTGGCCACTTACAGCAGAGCGATTTGATGGACAGGGCGTGCAGCTGATTCTCGGCGCGGATGTACGTGCGCATGCACACCACGAAGAGGTTCCCGAAGCATGTAGCGAAGGCCACCACCCACACGAAGACACGCAGCACCACGTTGGCGAGGAGGTCTTCGAAGGACGAGATGCCGTCCGTGTTGGGCTTGCAGCTGCGCACGTGCGGAGCGTAGCCACAGTACTGGAACTTCTTAAAGTATCTACACGGACAGAATTGTAAAAATAAAAATTACACTTAAGTCTCACGTAGTGCGTACAATGCCAGCGCTGTGTTGGTGAATAGAACCCCTTTGGATAAACAAGGACTGTGTATCCATCCCATGGACAAGAATGTTAAACATTTTTGTTACGCATTTTTTTGCAAAAAAATATGTTTTGAAATTGCTCATGCAGTTCTCGGATGTCCAGGCCAAAAATGCAGCAGAAAAAAAAACCGGTGGTCTGTTAAAGTTACTCGTACTATTTTTTCTTCAGGCCAGTCTAGCTTGTGGGTTTAATTGACGTGGAAGTGTTGCAATCGGTGAGTGAGTAGTACGTTTTGTGCACTGTGACTGGTACAAACTTGGTATGGCCAAATTCAAGGATAGCTCTCTGTCCAGTTACAAAGTGGAAACATACATCCTTGCCTATATGTAGTCTGTCAAGCTTATATCAGGAAAATGTACTAATTGTTTTCTGCATTCAGGAGTGTTTTGATTACACAATAGTTATCAATAATAAAATAACAAATTTCCTATGGAGAGTATGACCCTTGCCATACGAATATGGAATTTCTACTATCCTCTTTGGGACACTAAAACATATGCATGTCACTCTGTAGGTAATTTCAGCCTCGGAATTGCATTGACTGGACTGACAAAGGGCATCATAAATCCATTTCTGACTGAGAGCATGGGCATGCCGTGAAGATCATGGGTCCTTTTAACCATACTTCATCAGTACGGGTTTGGGAAGACATAGAGCTTCGATGTGGGAGCATATAAGTAGAGTACAACAATTTATTTAACTGTATTGCCCTGTGTTGCTTACCATTGTCGCCCACACAGCAACACTATGACAATTAGTTTATGCGTGGTGGTCACCCATCCAAGCACTATCCAAGATCAAAACCTGCGTATGTTTTGAGATCTGAAGAGATTGGGCACATTCTAAATGATTCGGTCATAGAAAAAAACGACGTAGGAAATGTCTGTTAGGTAACAGAACATTGTTATCCTTTCGTGTCTTAAGCTGCATATGTTCTTGATGATTAACACAAAACCACAGATTCAAAAAGCACATTTATTGAAAGTGGATAATGGGAATCAGCTCCTTAAATAAATCAACTTGTGCTATCGTCACATCAACCCAAATTGCCAACGTGCTAATTTACCCCGTTTAATAGTTAAAAAAAACAATTTTACTTCGCTTTTAATCGAAATAAACACGAAGGGCGAAAAAAACTTCACTTCTGAAAAAACCCAGTCCTCAGCCAGTTGGGACAATCTAGAATCCCCATGACAGATATTGGAACCCCACGTAACAACCCATTGTTATTTTCCAATGAAGCAGTACTTATTTTGTCAACCACGGAGAAAACTGAGTGACTCAAGGAGTCAGAGCGCTGAGCCAGCACCGTAGAGATCCTGGATCTGAGTTTCCCAGATCTCAATGCAGTGGGTCGATAGTCTCAGTCCAGTCACCAACAATAGCACAGCAACAAAACTCATATTGCATATGGTTTTCACATTAAATTGACTTATTTGAACAATGAGCATTGTATTCTTCAGTTTGATAACATTGTGAAAAAAAATATGTGCAGGGCATCAAAAGTGTAGCTAAAGATGCATATTCGTGTGAAGTCAGCAGTTAACCCCTTCCCGTTCCAAGACGTCTGCAAGTTGCAGGGTGGCGTGGTCCCGTTCATTGCTGAATCTTGGGACGCGCAAGCGGTTCAGCGTTATTTTATTTTGAGAGCCGTAGCGCCGCTGTTTTTAAAGACATTGTACTCGCCACAGAGAACTGTAGCGATACGACCGCACTCTATATGATAGCTGGCACGAAACAATTCCGTTCCGATGAAATACGATGACGAAATCAGGAGTACGTGTATGTCCTCGGCATGGGAAAGGGTAAAGTGACATCATCTTCCCAAGACTGTTCTCTGAAACATGGTGAGGCTAGCCGTGATCGTGGTGATGTTAGCTACGGGGGTGAGGCTAGCTATGATCGTTGCAAATGCAAATTTCTTCATCTTATGAAATTATACTGATTAGCACACTCGGAATATAAATCAGAGAAAAGCAAAGAAAGGGAAAAAATATATATATTTATTTTCCATCGACCATGTAGCAATTCGATTTATTGCATGTGAAGTGACATAAATGATGTCACGATAGTGTCGCGACAGTACCGAGCGAGTGGTACTGTAAGCACCAGAGTATACCATGGGAAGAGGCTGGGTAAAGACACAACAGTCTGGGTGAACTCGAGGGGGCACGTGACCGGATGAGGTGGTAACGAGGACCAGAGAGGAGGTGAGAGGGACACGTGATGTGTGCCCTGAATCGTCGAGAAGGATCTGTAAAAGGGGGGCGTGGCCAAGGGCGGGGCCTGGCCATGCCGCAGCGGATAAAAGCCGAGTCCCGGCGGTGATCGCGGTTCATTTCTGGGAAGAAGTCCTTCCTTCGTCTTCGTGAGTCCTCTGTCTCCGGCAATGGCGGAGCCAGGATTTTCAGGTAGAGGAGGAGCGGGCGCAACCCCTCCAGACATGAAAAATGATAGAGGAGTTGTTAGTAATAAGTAAGGACTTGTCCCTTTCTTTTTATTTGACGCGTGTGCGGCGATGGTGCAGCCATCGATCGAGGGGTCGAATTCGAACCGCGTGGTGTGATCGGAATCGCGCTCGCTGAAGGTGTTTGCCTTCAGGGAAGTCGTGTACTGTATACGCAACTGCGCACAATTCTGTGAGTCGCTTATAACTGCTTTGCCGTTAGTTATTGCCAATTACGGACTCAGACTATTGTCCTATCATCTCATAGAGTCCCTGGCACGTAATAATAATATGCTACACACAGTGGCAGTGGGGGTCGCAAAATGCCGATTAATTACGAATAAAACCCAATGATCCGATCGAAATTACGGATTTCGATCGGATCATTTGGGGGGCACGTGCCACCTCCCCCCCCCCCCCACTGGCTCTGCCAGTGGTTTCTGTTCTTCGCGCACGTGGACTAGGCAGTGTGTTGCTTGTCCTGGTCCGATTTAGTAGTTATCCCATCCAGTATGTATATAGTCACATGCATGTGGTGTTCACCCCTCCAAGTGTATATACTGTAGTTACTCGTGCTGGTCACCACCCTTAGTCGTTATCCAGTTAAATAGATAGTTACTTGTTGGAATTAGTGAATAAACGTGAGTGCCTCCAAGATCAAGTGTGCGCCTCAATTGAACCCACTACACATGTGGCAATATGTGCAGGAGCTGAACGCCAATGTTAAGGTCTGTGAGCTACGAGAGCGCTTAGGGAGAGAGAGAGAGTTTGTGAAGTTTTGCTATTCCTCCTCTGTTGAAGGAGCATGGACTACAGTGGTTTAGTTTAACAACTAGGCTTTCCCGACCAATATTAATCCAACTCTGGCTGTCGCCTGATGAGGCTGAGTTATAATTACCGGCGAAACGTCGTACTCGAACTGTAAATGTTGTGGGTTTACTCTCCAACACACCGGTGTGCTGAACTAGTAACAAATTGGGATGTTTTTTTTAAGTGACAAACCTTACTAATTGGCTGTGTCGGGTGGTGGAGGGTTTAATAACACATTTATATTATGCGGTCAAACCCAAAAAACCTCTAATATGGATGTGGGTTGCATTGGCACAGTCCCACTCCTGTGGTCTGCGTCTTTAGGTTTCCATTCATGATGGGGATGTGGTGCGCATCGGTCTGTTAATGTTCTGATGATGCAGTTGATGGACACACCACCGGTGTCTTCGAGGATGGAATGTCAAAGCCAGGGGAGGTGTGATGCTTGGGTCTTGAATGAGGAGGTGTTTGTACTGGACATCCATGTTGTTCCACTTTGTTGGCCAGCATTTTTCTGGATCTGGGTGAGAGTCTAAGATGGTGACAGCACGATCCCGAAAAAGGGATTGGGACTTGATTCGGTTGTGAGGGACATTGTTGAGGTCTGGTTGATGGGTATGTGGTTGTAGTTGGCAAGAAAACATGTCAACTCCCTTGTCATATTCTTGGTTCTTTCGGTAAAGTCACGTTGGAGGGAAACAATAAAATAATAAAATATATATAAAACAATAAAATTCTCACGACGTTTCGACTGCAACACAAGCAGTCATCATTATGTGTGATGATGACTGCTTGTGTTGCTTATATATTTTATTATTTTATTGTTTCCCTTCAACGTGACTTTACCGAAAGAACCAAGAATATGAATCACTGCAGTCACGAAAGCTTTAAATCAAAATTTAACTCCCTTGCCGTTTGCGTGATGTCTCTGCAAATATTTAGGGCATTGATGTTCGCCAGAACATGGAGCCAGGGGATTGGTGTCAGTTTCAGTGTGCCGATTATGATGCGCATCACTTGATCAGTTTTGTGTATGAGCTCCTGGACCAAGCTAGAGCGCGGTGACTCTGACACTTAGTAGACTCTGACACTTAGTAGACTCTGACACTGCGATGACTATGATACAGAGTAGATCAGTGAGAGGGTGGCAGTTCGCAGCAAATCAGCTGAGGCATCCTAGATCGTTCCTGATCGTTTCTGTAGCAGAGCGATTCTTGATATAGTCTTTTCACAGATCTGTTTAATGTGTGGCTTGAAGGTCAGGCATCTGTCTATACTTTTCCCTAGATATCTCGGAATGGGATCGTAGCATACTGTGTTACTGCAGAAGGACACATCAAAGGTGAAATCTGCTGCATGGTTGTTCAGGTGGAAAGCGCTTGTGGTGGTTCTGGAAGGAATTGGTCGGTGTCTCCAGCAACAAAAATATGCCTCCAATAACATTCGACCAGCTATTAGAGTTTTAACATTGTTCTTGAGATTCGTGCCCCGAGTCATTCTCCACCTGGGATTTGAACTTAGAAGTTTCTGATTGTTACTCAAGCACCACCAGGCCGGTCAGGAATTACCATGTGATGGGAATCGAATTGTTGACTCTGTACAAAATATCCAAGTGATGAGTACTCCCGAGAAAAAAAT